GTTTCGTTTTGCGCCAAGGCACGCATTGCTGCTACTGCTGCTGCTGCTGCATTTGCTGTTGCTGCTTTGGCTTTGGCCAGCGAAAGCAAAAGTTGCCACCTGTCTCCGTGCCACAATGCCAAAAAGCGAGACACCAAAGTTGCATTTGCATGGCGCTTGGCCAAATGCTTTCAAATTGGGTTAACGACACTTCAACTTGCAAGCAAAAAAAAAAAAAAACTGAAAACTAAAACTGAAAACTGAAAACACAAATATATAAATGAAATAAGTGCGGGTGCTGCTGTGGGGTATGCGCGACTTAAGGATGCTCAGCCTAGACAGCTGTGAGCTAATTAAATACATATTCATGATTATATAGAGCGAGTTTGAGACTAGTGCAGATGCGAATGTAGATAATGATGAATATGGAGAGACTATATATGGGTATATATATAGGTATCAGTATATGTATACATAGTATATATGCTGAGAGATAGATGCATAACAATCAAGCCACTTCCTTCAGTTCTTCATCATGGGAAACACAATTTCTGATTATATTTATCATAAAAAACTTCAAGGCGAAGCTTGGCATCACGCCCACTCTGGCCAATGCCAATTTAAACAGGGTGTATAACAACAAGCAAACGAAAAAATTCACTTTCATAGCAAGTGTCGCCCCGGCAACTTGGCCGCTGCATAGAAAGTGAAACTGCAATTCCAAAGTTGGTCCAGATACAGTAAATGCAACAGCAACARCAACAACAGCAACAGCAGCAACAATTACATGAGCAAAGATTTGGTTTAGTTTTTGACCAAAGAAAGTGAAGTCAAAACATTTTTGATAGCGATGTAGCGAGGCGTGCATTTAATGGTCGACGCACAAGTGTCAATTAGCCAAGTTAATAGAGTTGGCGGCCACAGCAAAACGATGTCAAAGTTTAGATTATGATGCTTGTCGCTCAAATATAAATAGGAGCTGTTGCAGTTGCTGCAAACATTAGAAGCTCATTAGAAGACGAAAAACTTGCCATAATTTAAAGAGAAAGAGAGTGAGAGAGAGTGGGAGAGAGAGGTAGAGGTACAGTGACTGCTGTAAAGTAGGCAAAGCTGATTGCGTATTGTGAAAGGGAAAGAGAGAGGGAAGGAGATGTATGAAGCTTCGCCTGCTTGGCAATTGGTTGGCAAAGTGAAACTAAATGAACTAAAGCTGCGTCTGGGTCTGCGAATGCGACTGCGACTGCGACTGCGACTGCAACTATTACCTCGACTGCAATTGTAAAGCCAAAGACAGTATATGAAGTTGGGTCGAGTTGAGTCGAGTCAAGGAACCCATAAGCATAAACGTTGACAATATGTCGAAAGCTTGCCATGTGCGTGTGAGTGGGAGAGGGAGAGTGTCAGGGGTAGACAGAGACAGAGAGAGAGAGAGAGAGAGCAAAATCTAGCGACATGCTAATTATGCTACATTTATGCTTCTAGACGCACACAGCCAGACAAATAGGCAAATAAGCGGACTAGGCAAGCAGTGCAGCTCGAAAAGGCTTAGATTTGAAGATACTGTGTAAAGCGAATGAATGTATGTGGGTAAGTGAAGTGTTTACTAAAACAGGGCCACATTATAAATAAGAGACTTACTTCTATGTAAAGCTATAGAGAGGTGATATGGTTTCGTAGCGTGACAGACTTTAAGCTGTATATGAAACTCAGGAGAAAACTCAAGTAGACTCGACTCTTAGCTCAATTCAAACTTATAGTGAAGCAACTTCTCTGGCAATTTAACGTACACAGGGTATCAACTTTACCGGAACTGTGCTGGTGCGTTGAAGTGCATGATATTGCTGGTTGCCCAGCTGCAGGCTATGCTTAGACCTTTGCCCAACAGACCAACCCACACCACACATTCGCCTTGCTCTCTCTCCCTCTCTCCCCTCTCTCTCTCTCTCTCTCTCTCTCTCTCTCTCTCTCTCTCTCTCTCTCTCTCTCTCTCCAATGACTGCCATGCCGGTTGATGTTGCCATTTTGCGTTGACTTTGACAAGAACGCGACCATCATAGCCCATTATCGTGCGCCTCATCAGCAACCTCAGCAACAACAACAGAATCAGCAACAACAACAACAACATCGTCTAACGCCAAAGTCATTAAACTCGCGCATCGCGTCGTCAGTTCCAAACGTCGACTAACGACTAATTTGCGCATATGACAGAGCACCGACCGAGCCAGAGCCAGAGGCAGAGGCAACTCATTCTCGAATGTCATATGGCATATATGAATAGGGTATTGGGTAGAGTCTTGGGAACTGTAGATTGAAACTGCGTGTGCGCCTGTGTGTGTGTGTGTGTGTGTGTGTGTATGTCAACGATGTTGCTGTGCATTGCGGCGAACATCTCTCTTGACTCTGGGATTACGTTGTGCGTCTGTTTCCCAGTCTGGAAAACATTTTTATGCCCACTCCATAAGGCTTTAAGCGGTCATAAGCGTCGGCTAGGTCTGTCAGACACTTATGCGTTTTAAATGATAAGAAATTGCAGCTCCACTGAGTGCCGCACGGCCAAGGCAAAATACAGAAACGAACAAAAAAAACAAAAAAAAAAAAAAATGAAAGCACACAATAGCAACGTTAATTCAAATACAAAATTGTGCAGTTTAAAGGCAATCGGCACACGCGACGTATGCGCAACGCCCGAGGCGTTAGCCAAACAAATCACGCCACTTACATCCATGTAATTCATAATTAAGGCATAAGGCCCACGCCCATTGAAGCCAACACATTTTGTTAGTTTAATAATAATTGGTAGCACACGCAACGGTAAATCAAACTCAAACAGGTGGCAAAACTACTGCGAAAAGTGCAGTGCACTGCAGTGCCTGACAGGTACAAAGAGCACTTAATTGCTGTGAAATCGCGCGTTAACCCATACTATTATAATATATATATATGTTTGATGACACTGCCATGCCGCATATATCGCATATCAAATATTTACGTACCTGAAGACCCACTGTCTATCAGCTGCTCTTCAACACAGGCTATCAAGACTTAAGTATGTAAAAAAAAGTCGATTGAGAAGAGTAGAAGCTAAGCTACTCTATTTTGAAATCTATATGTGTTTAATTAAATATTATATTTTAAGCAATTACTGAGCAAACTAGATGACATCTTCACTTTAAAATTAATTTAAAAATTTTTTAAATATGAATATATATAAATTTAAATAGAAGTTTTTAATTAAAACACAATTTATATCAATTAAATTCAATATTTAACTTTAACTATAAATATTTTCTTGGAGTGCGTTATAAAAATTAAAAACCCATTCGAAATGCATTTAAAATTCATTTAACTGCATTTAAAGAATATTCAGGTTTTAGTTTGCTTCAAAACTAAAGAAAACTGTACAAAAATCAGACAGTTGCTCCTTCATATTATTGACAAACATCATACTTAATTTCGAGTACCTCACTGCAGGGTGTTCGAGTGTTTATGCGCGCACAATATGCTACGCCAGGGCAAGTGCCATGAATAACGGGCGCTGTGCAAATGGTGCTCGCTGTGCACCTTGGGGGCAGTCTAATTAAACACGACACTGAAAATGTGTCCTCCGCTGTCATTGACACGTGTGCACAGCAGCAACTGCGACAGCAACGCTAACAACAGCAACAGCAACAACAACAGCAGSAACAACAATAATAATAATAAAACTGAAGCCGGTGTCCAGCCGGATATGCAGCAGCCGATAGGCCGTTAATACACAGCACACACACACACACACACAGAGAAAGAGAGACAGAAGCTGGGTCTGCTGATTTTCCGTTTGCCAACAGTTGCCGGAATGCCCATACAAAGCACACACACACATGCAGTCGCCATACACAGCTGCAGAGATTCACGCACGTGATTTATGTGCGTGGGCGCGCATTTTAACGCGGCGACAGACGAGGTGCAAGAGCAGAGTTTCGGCTGCTCTGGGCAGCCCGGCAAATGTCCGCTGCACAAAGCTAAAAGCTGGCGAACTGTGCTGCCGACAAAAATGAGCACAGTCGGGTATGCACAGCCAAGGGATATGCTACGCCTGAGTAAGACAAACTGTAAGCGGTGTAACAAAAATGGTTACAAGAGCTCAGCCTCATGAATACTGATTGATGGCAATTAGTGTTATAGAAGCTAGTGATAAACCTGTCCAAGAGTCCACTCTAACTGTTCATTCTGATTCATCTCACATAACAGTCAATCTACCCCAGTGCAGCCAACTCATAATGGGTATAGGGTATAAAAATCCTTGCCAACTTTATTGGAATTCGCATATTTTACGTGCGCAGGCGACTCCATGCTGGTCAATTCAATCAGGATATAATTTTATGCGTTACTTAAACACGCAGGATATGTTAATATTGCGGCAGTGGCCCACTGGCCGCATCAGCCAGGACAACAACAACAACAGAAATAAAACTTTACTGTATGCATGAAATAACAGCATAGTTGATGTGGATAAATAACAGTGAGAGTGCACGTGTGTGTGCGTGAGTGTGTGAGTGTGAGTGTGTGTGTGTGTTTGTTTGTGTTTTCATGATTAATTAATTGTATTTAAAGCATAATTGCCTCTAGCTTTCATTTGATTAAATTTCCGTGCGACATAATCAGCAGGTCAATTGGCTTTCTACCTTTTTTAAGCCAGCTGCAAATGCCCCATTGGCCCATTGTACATTTCAATTAATAACGGCCCATTGTGCGCTGCCCCGCGCGCGCGATTATATGCAATGGAAGACTTAAAGAGCCGCTTAATTAGTAAATATTATTTGTACCAATGTCCAATTTATAATCATTGGCTACAGCAGCGATAAATTTAATAATTGTTGTCAGTGCACTGATCCGGGTCCCTAATTATTCAACATGCTGTTTGCGTGTGACGGCATCTAATCTAGATAAGCTGAGCACAGCTCAGCACAGGTGCTATAAAAGGGGTGTGAATTCACCGAAGACTAAAGAGTTATTCTTTTTTTTTTTTTGGCAAATATAAAATGAGGTTTGTTAGTCCATTGCTGATGCTGCTCTTGGCTATTCTCAACGACTGTGGCTGCAAGGTATGTGTATAAAGCAAATGCTATTCAAGCTCTGCATCTAATCAGGATACTCTGCCAGCGTATGTGGGAGCACGAACTCTTAGAGGCCCATGTATACAGCTCAGATGAGAGCAAACTCAAACTGAATCTATATGTGAGCCGAGTGGGTCGCGATCTTGTTGGATTCTCAGGCACCGTGGATTGGAATTTCGATGCGGACAATGAAGCGATGGTAGGATATCATCAAATCAGAACTCTATTTAATATTGAATATATATCATATCATAACATTGCAAACGTATCAGCTTGAAATGGGGTTCTATCGCAGTGCCAGCGGCAACGACTATCGTCCCATGCCATTTTCAATTTCAAAGAAATACTTTAAGGATTACAAGACCTTATACGACGATATCATTTATATCAACTTGAAAGATTGCTCAAATTTGCCCCAAATCGAAGGCGACTACTTGATACCATGGCCCAGGAATTTGTACACGTTTAACAATTGTAATTTCCACAAAGGTGTTCTACCGGAAGTAGTAGCTGAAGGCATGTATAAGACTGTGTTTGCATTTTTCGGCGAGGTAAATTGGAATGTGACTTTTATTTTTTATGTAAGACCAAAGCTTTTCTGAGCCAAGTCCTTAGAAAATGCACAAATAAAGTATAAATCTTACAAAATTCACTTGAATTAATTAT